CACCTTCACTGACTGTTAGCGTCAAATCCGTGTTCCACGCCGGACGCCGCGGAGCCTGACACAAAAAAAAAAAAAAAAAAAAAAAAAAAACCGCCTTGGCTCCTTTACCAACACCAAATGGCAGCCGGGCAGCTGATCTCAAATTTAGGGGACACGTCAAAGCAAGGCACACATCAGGTCCTTGACGCACGTCCGGTGCTCACTGTGGCGTCCTCGTCCACCTGGGACCATCCTGTCACACAGCACTACCGTCAGAATCATCTGGCGGTTCGCGCCCCCAAAAGATCACACTTGCCCTCCCATTTTGGCATGGATAGCATTTCCAAAAGCGGGTCGCAGATCGACTCCCCACCTGCATGCGGGCTTTGTGCCGAATCTGAACAGGCTCCGCGGCTCCTGGGCCTGGCCAGCGCGTCCATCAGCGCACCAGCCGTCACGGCTCCTCACAGGAGGAATTGTCTTGGCAGCCCAAAACACGACAAGATCAGGAAGATGATCCATCCACGACGGTCGCACGGCAATGTTGTTTGGCCACCCGTTCATCCCTGTCATCGCTTGCACCTCGACAGCGCTCGCCCCTGATGCCACAACGACGACAAACCGCACCATCATCATCAGGAGTGCGCCCGCCGCCCATGGTCCTGTTTCATCCTCTGTGTGTGCTTCATCGCGATGTTCAAAATTAAAAATTCAAGCAAAGCTTAAGGGAAGGAAGAGAGGCAAGAGGTTAATGAAGCAAAGATGCGACTAGTTGAAGCCGATCATGGCCAGTCAAAGTAACAAGATGCAGTATATTCAGCACTTATTGAAGAAATCTCTAAAAGGATGACATTCTCTGTCTCTCTCTGTGTCTCTCTACAGCAAAGCAAAGCCAAGGGGTTAATGAAGCAAAGCTCCAAGTAGTTGAAGCAGATCTTGGCCAGTCAAACTAAGAAGATGCAGTATATTCAGCACTTATTGAAGCGATCTCCTCCCTTGAAAATCCTGTTTTATTTTGTAAAAAAAAGTAAAAAACTTTTGTGGAGATGTGTGTTGAAACGGACTCTCGAGTCCTGGAGACTCTTGATCTTGAGCCAATCTCCGTCCTGCAAGGGTCACAGAGACGATGGCATGCACCACTTGCCTCCTGTTGTTGATTTGCACCTGTTCTCAAGTGGCTTCGTCACACGCTAGTGAGATACTCTGCTGCCATTTGAGGGCTCTGGCTGGCCGTCATGGTGCGCGAGCGGGTCGGAAGAGTCGCGGTGCGGCTTGCCCGCTGCTGCATCTACGATCGCTGAGAGGGTCAGGCTGTGGCAGTGCGCTGTGAGCTCGCAAGTGTATAATATGCCCATTCGGTATGCGCTTGGTCATTGCCTTGGCCGCGAATTCTCGTTGCTCATCATAAGCTTTTTCCATTTAGAAAAATCAACACGAACGACGACAGCGAGCCGACGCGGCTGTTGCTGCCCATCACATGGCGGGCCGTGTGTTTCAGGATGATGAACTTCAAGGTTCTTCACAGGAGCAGTGAAAGGCCGACCCGCCAGTTTTCGATCATGCTTTGTTTCGCTTGAAGCTTTTTTCCGGTAGCGGCCGTTGCCGTCGTCCATCCTCACCGGCCTTGTTCTGAACTGCGTACGATGCGACCCCAAATGAAATTCATACCGCGCGTACTCGCAACGGATACCAACAAGACACGGCCCATGACGGTCGAGCACTCTGCACTCGGGAGGAGCAAGCTTTGAGAGCCGAGTATCTTCGATCAACGAGCCGCATGAATCGCTCCCGTACGCGCAATGATGTCATACAGCTGATGAACGAGCTGCTTGCCGTTTGCCGTGAGAGGAGTATCATGCGCAAGAGAACCGATTCTCGATACGCAGCTTACCGACCACTCAGTCACCGTGAGTGTGCATTTCGTCGACGTGCGGCAGACGCCCAAGCCGGTGTTGGACTGTTTTCGTCTGTGCTGCAAGAGCAATGGTTTTATAAACTCGAGGAGGAATTTGGTGTTGATCTGATTAGTGCAAGGGCGCAAGACGAGCTGCGGGCTCACTTGAGTCAGCTCGTTGACGGTGGGCGACGAGATTCACGTCCTTTGCGTCGCCATTCACGCACAGCGTCAAAGGCCGGATTGAATGGCTAGAGCCTTTCGACATGCTGGCATAGCAGCTGAATCCAGAGACATCGATTCTATGCTGAACGCACCTACCTCAACACCTGGCTCTGCGCTGCCCAGTCCTGCATCTGGAAGGCCAACTCAAACGCACCAGTCCGATATTTCCCCCACTCAGCCGGCCTTTGCAAACACTTCCCCGCGTACCGCTCTTGCCTTGGCCAACAACAATGCAATCAAGGTGTCGGTCCTCCAAGCACGCCTACAGGAGCAGCACGAGAGCATTTGCATCACTGCAGGCCATGTTTGTTTAGAATCTTACTCATGTAGCAGTACGACACAGCCAGCGACGCGTTCCGGTTCGTGGGCCACAAGGCCTCTTGGGTGAGGGCGACTCTCTCGCTCAATTGCTCCGGTGTCGGAGTGACGCCGGACAAACGAGGTAGAAAACCAGACTTCAATGCCTCGGCGTTATTTCGCGACTTGGTTATGACTGTTTCCGTCCCGACAATTGTCAAAGCAAAGTATATCCAACAGATCATGCCCAATGAGACGGCTGAGCGCGGTATCGGACCATGTTCTCATCGCCAACGGAAAATTACAAGAGGTCACTGTGTGAATGTGTGAACTCAACAACACAGCGGCACAGCGGCGACAGTGGTACAGAGCGACTCACAGAGCGACTCACAGAGCGACTCACAGAGCGTCTCACAGAGAGGTACAAAGAGGTACACAGACACAGACACAAGAGGGACTCACGGAGAGAGATGCAGACACAGACACAGACACAGACACAGACACAGACACAGACACAGACACAGACACAGACACAGACACAGACACAGACACAGACACAGACACAGACACAGACACAGACACAGACACAGACACAGACACAGACACAGACACAGACACAGACACAGACACAGACACAGACACAGACACAGACACAGACACAGACACAGACACAGACACAGACACAGACACAGACACAGACACAGACACAGACACAGACACAGACACAGACACAGACACAGACACAGACACAGACACAGACACAGACACAGACACAGACACAGGCACAGACACAGGCACAGACACAGACACAGACACAGACACAGACACAGACACAGACACAGACACAGACACAGACACAGACACAGACACAGACACAGACACAGACACGCGGATGGCCTTGTCCATCTCGCTTCTTCCAAATTAGAAGCCAACATGGCCTGTTTGGGGTGCCATGCTAGTCCTGATACACCTACAATAGTATGTACCAGAAATGGCCCAAAAGAGTGGATGAGTCCATGGCCTCGTCCATCAGGGCGAGCGGTCGGAGAAAAACCGATGCTGCACTCACCATCACTGTGACCGTGCGGCTCATGC